CATCCATCCATCCATCCATCCATCCATCCATCCATCCATCCATCCATTGCATTTCACATGGAAGGGTGGGTAACGATGGATGGTGAGATGGAAGATGGGCTGAAACCTTGGAAGTCAGCTTCTATGTTTGCCGCCATGTTCGGAGATTCTTTGATCTGCTTCAAACTGAGTTGATGGCCAAAAGATGTGTATCACGACCAGTGAGACGGGGCTGGTGAGAAGCAGACTCAGCTGATGAGACTTGACGAGTTGGCCACTTGGTTGGGCAGGTCCAGCATTCAAAGGTGTAGCCATGAGTCTTGAAGCACACCCAGTATTGACTCGACCGGACCTGCGGTTGGAACAGCCCACATCAGACACTGTACCACTGTGATGAGTGGAAGTGGAGGGCGGTTGGTCCACCTGTCCACTTCCTTCCCCCTCACGGATTCAAGTGGAGTCCCTCCTACTTTGCACTCACAAAACCCATTGTACGTATGGTAGGTGTCTCCAACCAGGAGCTGACAAAAGCAACCATTATGCGCCGTGTTTCGCAGGCGCAGCCGCCGTCGTTGGGAAGCTCCTCGGAGGACGCCTTGGGCAATGGGAGATAAGAGGGATAACCAGGATTGCTGGGCAAGTTGCGCAAGACTTATTGAAGCTAATGGTTTCTTGGGAGTGCATGTTGATTTCCCTGGTGCCACAGCCACAAGTGCCTACCTGGCATCCGTTTAGCCAGATGCTATTCTGGGGATATTTGGGGATTAGTTTGAATGACCGCATCCAGCACTCAGGAAGACATTCGGCAACTCTTGCAATATGATAGATGTTATGAGATGATGATTTCCAACCTTCGAGGCTGCCCACAGGACCCACAGTTTCCAGGTGATGGACATAGGGGTTGCTTTCACCAAAACCACCTGCACACGCCAGTCCAAGCCCTGTTTCCTTTGGGGCAGAGCAGTGAACAGTAGATTCGTTGTAGCAGACAAAGCATGCCAACATGTGCCAACAACGCAAACCAAGACTTCGCAAAAACCAGTGTTGAAACTCCTGCACTTAAAATATATAAACCAGCTCATCTGAATGGTTATTAGTTGTTAGTATTCCAATAGAGAGACGGACCTGCCAACCCCACTTCTGCCAGGAGGGCCAGCTACCAGTGGAGCCCCCCTCGTCGCCGCCGGCAAGCGGCGCCGGCGCCCGCGCCGAACGCGCCAGCAGCACCGTGGGTGGGACCCATCCCAGTGACTCGGTGCTTTCGGTGCCGCCGAGCCGGTTCAGCTAACCGCGTCACGTCGGGGAACTGCCCAGTCACCACGGAGGAACGCACTCGAAAGAACTGCCAGACGCATCCCAGACGCTCCATGTACGGAATATATGATATATGATATATGTGCACCTACATCGACACCAGAAACCACCCCCAAATGTAGGCAAATACGTCCATAGAGTGCTTGGGCCAGGGTTTCTTGGTTTCTTTCTCTGGGCTTTGGGCTTCGCTCATCGGAAGACATCGGGATCCTCACTTCACCGTCCGGCTGGGCCAGGCAGCCAGGCCTGGTCTTGAGCATTTTGAGTGCGGATCCTCCAACACGAAGCAAGAAGATCATGAATAAGATAAACAGCGAGAGAGGTATAAAGGGGCAACCGGCAACAGGAATTGCTCTAAAACCTGCAAAAGCGATAGGCCCCCCTCAAAAGGGATAACCCAATTTCCGCAGTTTTTGGATATGTTCAGCTATGTTGACATTGTGTCTAAAACCTGCAAAAGCGACACGCCCCCTTAAAAGCGATAACCCTGCTGAATCATGTCCTTTGCTTGGCAGTACGTTTTGGCAGACGCTCATGTTTTGTAAATCGATCTCGAATCACTGAAGGTCTTTGATGTTTAGTCTAGTTGTGCTTTGTAACTTTGTAGAATTATAGGTTCAGCATTAAAATGTTCCCTCGCTATGACATGGGTGAATGGGTGGAGAGCGCAGGGAGCGCATGACCTGAGACACTTCGCGATCTTCGGGAATTTTTGAGATGGGGACACGAGTCATAAGCAAGAGGGTTCCTTCTGGATCGAACCCGTTTGGGCTCCTGGCCCACATCCGAAACGAATGTAGTTACACCCCCACCCTGGCACCCACCCCAGTCCCACCGAACGTGGGGATGTGGGCGAATGCAGTGAGGTCAGCCCCACTGGAGGTTGTGGCCTGGATCCAACAAGACCGGGGCTGTTCCTGGCGGAGGTCGGAAGGGATCAAGGGGGTAAGTGTCCAAAATAGGTGGACGTCGGTCCAAAAGAAACGCCCAGTGCACCAAGAGGTGTATATACGTTGACACCGTTGACTGTTCACCAGGTAGTTTCCAGCAGCCCAGTTTGGGTCATTTTCAAGGGTCAAGCAGGTTTGAGGGAACACGGGACCTCTGCAGGGGGTCATCAATTGTCCAGTGTGTATCAGTTTGGGAGGCACTTTCAGCAATATCCACTGAACCAGTTCGATACATCCTCACTTTTGAGGGGAAGTATTCATTAACAGCTGAGCAATGATCTGCTAAGCTTGCTAGCTTTACATCTCTGAGTTGTATTTGTCTCCTCTGCCACCACGAGATTGCCGAGGCAAAAGTTCTCGCATTCCTTTGGACAGCAAGTGCAAGGGCTGCCCTCCCAAAAAGGACAGCAGAGATTTTCGAAGAACGACTGAGCTGCCTCGAGTAGGTCATTCTCAGACTTCAGAACGCAAGACATGGAAAGCATTCTGGCAAGACAGGACACATGACAGACTCATGACACGCATGACACACGAAAACCAACAAAAGACATTTGGCGCACAGGTAAAAAAGAGTGAGGCAAACAATCAAGAACCAAAAGACATGAACATCAACTAGGATAGTGGAAGATGGCACACGATCCATATGTTTTTGTTGCTGTACTGGGTGCTATTTCAGGTTTGGTTTAGACACTGATGGGACTCTGGGTGGGCATCATCCAGGATGGCAAGCTTTGTGCCAGCACCACCTGGTACGAGGACCATGTGCGCGAGGAAGCGATCGACGCAAAGCATTGCCTTTACAGTCGATGGAAAGAGAGAGCCAATTGCCATGGTCAGCCGGTCAGCTAAACAGAGTCTTAGAAGCTAGATAGTATTTTGGTGGTTCTGTCCTACGAGTTGTAACATCCTGTAAACAATTGCCACTACAGTAATTATGATTTGAACAAGGCCTGTAGTCGCCATCATAATCTTCTGAGCTACTGATAATAGATATAATAGAATAGACCCAGCATTCATGTCATCATGGAAATCATATCTACATCTTCAGCATCCGTGTTTTTTTTTTTTAATCAATGTCAAAAGAACAGCTTTTTAACCAGTGTTTCCCTCTCTGCGTACGTAGCCTTGTCAAACGCCTCGTAGCTGATGCCAAGGAGCTGATTTGTCGGACAATCAGTTCCTGGAAGTCCGAAGTAAGTCAGCAAAAGACGCGTCAGCAACCCAAAACCCCAGCGTTTTTTTTCCACATGGCATGCATATGCCATATGCTCCACTCCCACTTCGACACGCAGAGTTCAATTCTGGGTGTCGCCCTTTGCGCCGCATAGGACACCACCCGCGGCTCCTGTGGTTGTGGTGGCCGTGGCCATGTGGAACACGACTATTGGACCTTGACGGAGCGATGCGTTGGTCGACCGAACGCGTGCCACGTCTGCGACGAGGGTTTGGTCATCACCGGTTCTCGGTGCAACGGCGATGCGACGTCCGCGGTTGGCCTTTCGTGGCATGGAAGCAGCGTGGGTGCTGGACCAGGGTTCGTCTTTGATCTTGATTCAGGGTTTAACAGTTTAAGTTTAAGAGCAAGTTTAAGTCATGCATTGATCCCATCATGAATGAAATGTGAATCACTTCAAATTGGACGGTCTCAAAAGCAATCCACATGAATCACCTTGAATCAACGGTCCCACATGAGTTCTATTGCACTGAGCAGTCAAGGATCTTCTGGGCTTCACAGTGGATGAGGCATTGACTGCTCCGCCAACTGCGCCAGGAGTACACCGCTGCCATGAACTGTGCCAACTTGGACACAGATCCTGCGAAGAGCTGGTGCGCCAAGAGCTGCACACGCTTAAGCAATCAGACAGAGAGCATTTGAACTATATATAATATAATCATGGTTGCCAGCCCTACATATTTTGTTTGCCCAACTCCCTTTGTGGTGGATGGCTGAAAATGCTTTTAAACATGTTTTTTTGTTTTTGGTCCATTTGGTCGTTTGGCAATCAGCGAGACGCCCCACTCGTGCATGTCCATGAGCATTGAGCTCTGGACGATGGGATTCGCCGGAGACCACCACGTCCTTTCTCTATAGCTGAAGAAATCTTTGATTTTGTTTGCACAACTCAGTTTATAGACATCCCAAGCTCCTCATTGTTTTAAAGACAATGATACTATCAACAACAAACAAGCCTCCACTTTCCAAAACACCCCGAAAGACCGCCGGTTGAGCTTTTCGTTCTCATCGGCCATCGCTTGACAGGTGCCCCGTGAACTGCGGACAGTGCTACAAGCTTTGCACCACGGGTGGCGCGACTCAGGGACGGAGCCCCAAGCCAGGCGAGTCTTCGCTCGAGGGCTTCGGTGGGAGTCGGCGACTGCGTTGATGAAGCTTTTGGGAGTGGAAAGGGGGCTGAAGACCTCAACAAAACCAAGATGCAGGAGTTCCATCCAAAGAGGGGTTATATACTCGGTTCGCACTCACGACGTGGGTCTCACACCTCTTTGACAATGGCAGCCGCAAGCCTGCCTGGCCAGGCGTTTGCCGTATCTTCAAGATCACCAACCGCTGTGGTGACGGCTACTGGTCGGATCTGGTTGGGCTGTGGATCGAGATGGTGATCCCGGTGGTGATCCGCTCTCTTCAAAAGATTGCAACAAAGATCGACTGAATTGTTGCATATAAACTTAACTATACCTATACCCTCCAAGCCACCAAGAATTGGTTGAAAAGAGTCATACCGCTTCGTATTAGACGATGATTATCGGCCGGTTCATGCCGGTTCCCTCCATTCTGGACGTCACGGCTTGGACGGTTGACCCTTCATCCGATCCATGGAGCGTCGGCGTCGTTTCGCGTCGTTTCGCTCGGTCTGTGTCCAAGGCTATGATGACCACACACCTGACTGGTGCAGCCAGCATATGTCCTGGCAAGACTGACCCGACCTTAGACCGTCACAACACATTGCAGCTTTATACATAGCTTTGGCTTTATGAGATGGATTGCGGTTTGCGGCACTAGATGACGGATGTGAAGCTTCATGTGACCTTAACCAGCACCAGGTCACCACCAGGTCAGGTCACCACCTGCCACGTCACCAGGTCGTCTCCATTTCAGCCACCAGATCGGACGCTAGCTTGGTAGGACGGTCGACGACTGCTTGACGGATCCACGACCTCGCTGTGGCCGAGCCGCCCACAGGTTCCAAGAACCCCAGCAAATGCAAGCAGCGCGGCAGTACCAACCAGCCCCTTGGCTGGTGCTCTTGCACACGAAAAACGGTGGGTTTGACTTGCTTCGATACCAAACACCTGTGCAACATCCGGTGTTCATGGACGATATACAGGCTACCTTTTGTTTCTTGTTCTAGAATGGTTTGAACATATGATGGATTCTGACATGCCAGCGCTGCCACGAGTTGGCAGTTCTAAGGTTTGGCTATCCTGCGCACTTCGACTTACAGGTGCGTTCGCTCGCTGCAAAGCGAACGGGCGGTTTGAACGTGCTTGCTTGAGAGCATTATGTACATGCATATAGTACAGTTGATGAATATGAACCATATGGACTTGTAAAACCATTCTGGTAGGGGTTGATGACTCAACAGTCAACATATGTCAACATGATGTTGGAAGCCGAAACGAATCCTCCTAGACCCATCTCCTTATTTGAGCTCCAAAAGGCAAAGAAACCTGAGACGCAGACCTGAACCAGCACCTTCAAAGTGATTTGTTTGGAGTCTCTAAGTGACCCTTTTACAGGCCTAAGTGTCCTCATCCTAAGATCTCAAAAGGATTCAAAAGGTCACTTTGAGGGTCTACGGTCTGACCGTAGACATTCTTCGTGTAGAGACTTCTTCTTCGTGTCAACCTCCAGGATTACCATCGACAGATCACGAGCAATACCACGGGCCTAGAGTCTTGGGTTTCAAATGTTGATTTGCGTCACCCGGGCTTCCAGGTCCTGATTCTTGATTCTGCGCTGTTCTAATGGGAGGAAGAAATGGTCCCCACCCTCCTGGGTAATTACCACTGTTTGAAACATCTTCACTGTAATCTACAGTGTTTTGGGATGTTATTTGTTTAATTCATGGTTGTTTTGGACACCTTCTCTTCCCACAAGGGTGCGGGTCCATATTGGAAACAAAGAGAGACAAGTGAAGAAGTTGAACCTTTCATATTTTCGATCTTCCATAATGATCTTCTGGATTTCCAACAAATACCATATCCACCATGGAGGACAGCAAAACATTGTGGGCTGCAGATTAGAACCCATACAGCCCATACTCGAGGTTGTTGGTATTTACTGTAGTTGATTTCTATGTTTGGTCATTTAATCAGCACCTATCAATGAACTATGGATGCACTGACCAAACATATCCACGAAATGTAACAGATATATACCCTAATAAAAAGAGTCACTAGAGGTCCATGTTCAACTCCCGAGGTCTATGTTCAAACCACAACTGTTTGCTTGGAGCCTGGCTGATCGCTTCGAGCTGAGGATTGGGACAACGCAGAAGTGACCTTCGAGTTGGCGCGGAACACGTGGGGTGAAAGGGGAACCAAACAGCAGCAAGTCAACACGACAAAAAAGGCCGACACTAAGCACTTCGGGATGATGAGCAGGGAAGAGGTAGGAATTCTAAGAGGGCCTCCCTGGCCCTGCGGGGTCTCTTTATGTCTCTTTAACTAACAAAGCCTAACAGAGCCTTGATCACCTTCATTTTGCATGACAATCAGTCTATGTCGGTGTGGTGGATGCGCCAGGGCTAGTATTTGGATATCAAGGGATAGCAGGAAACGCATGTTGCCACCCTAGTATGTTTAAGGGAAACCCAACCACTGGGTGCTAGTGGAAGTACAGTTACATATTTCTTCCAGACACTTTAGGAACTTCTCCCAGAATTGGTTTAAGGGAAAATCTACAGGAAAGCCATAGTTTGGGGGTTGAAAACAAGGGTTTCCGATTTTCCCTTAAACCAAGAAGTCAACGAACTGTGTCCCGGGTGGATTCTACACCTACCCCTTACCCGTGCGACAGGTGTCGTGCATTGCTCCCTGCAGGTGTCCTGCAGTCAATGGACGGGACCAAAACAGGTGCAATGCACTGGCTGCAGCAGGTGCTATGCACGAGGGGGCGCGGGGTTCATGCGAAAGATGGTGTGGCGGTGCAGGATGGGTGGATGATTGAGATTTGATTTGTGTTTAAGCAAAAATGATGGGTGCGATCGGTGCGATGGATGGATGATGGTGGATGATTGTCCAGCCCGTTTAAAACACAACCTTTTAACAGCGGAAAACAGATGAAAACAGTGTTTTCGACTGTTAAAAGATTGTGTTATATTTTGTTCACCAGTCGATAGACACGCTGCCTGGCCGCCCACACCTGGCAAAGGAAGATTCGTCGTGGCTATACACCCTAACTTGTTTGCATAAGGAGCTCCATGCGCTGGGAAACAGTTTAGAACTGTTGAACTACACAAAAAAAAAACAGGGGCCACCCTGTTTGGGGCCCCATCTATGAATCGGTGATGCCGGACACGTGAATCACCTGTGAACAGTCTTCGCTCTGGACTCAAACACTGCTCCCTTATATAACTCTGGAAGTAGAAGCCGATGTTGGCACAGTCTTGAGGTCCCAACATACCACTTGACTCAGCAACAGGATGGGAAACCAAGGCTTTTCAGAACTTGCACGGCTGCCTCACTCTCTTCAGGGTCATCCATTCCAGGCTGAAGGACGCGGAAGATCTATAGACTAAAGTAATCCACCATAGAATGGCCTAAGACTTAGGACATTCGCCCGATTTCTGAAGTCAGATCTATGTTGATCCGTGGAGTGAATTTCAGATGAAGCATCTTCAGAGCCCTTCAGCAAGAACGGTCGACGCCGGTTCTCGAACTGCTCGAAGTGACGCCCTTTAAAACACCCCAAGCAATGGATGGTTTGGATGTTTGTGTTGCCCTTGATTTCTGTGGGGTCTAGAGTCTAGACTCTCTAATATAGACATCATATTTACGTACGGAAGTTCGAGAGAACTGGCCAACCGCATGTCACAGCCCTGGCATCACTCAGTGAGTGTTGTGACTCAGCTTACATATAGACTTCGAGGTATTCCAATGACCCCGACCATTGTGCGATGCAGATCCTGCCACGAGACGTGTTGGGCTGTGCGCTGCAGGTGAACTATACCTCTGACTGACTTTTGCCTTGTAATGATTCCACTGGAAGCAGCTGGATGATCTGTGACTGGAAGTGTTTGATGATTATTGTAAGTCTTTGTTTGACAAGGTAAAGCATACAAGCTACCCTCAAATCCTATGTTTGTGTTGGCATATATGATATGAAGGAAAAACATCCGTTGATCAGTGGGGAGCAGAGAGCTATTTTTTTGGAGAGAGCTCAACTCGACTTTCGCCGAGTTAGAGGGCCCGGAACCGCACGATGAACCGTGTAACTTCCACCCACTGCCCGCTATGTTTTAGGATGGCATCCGATGATCCGATGATGAAGCTGTTCCATTATGTCCCGAACGGAAAGAACTGTTTGGATTGGGCTTTCATGGGGTCAGATTTGGATTGGGATTTGTCGTGACAATAGGTCACTATAGGCTTCTCCACCACAGATTGAGACATTGTCTTGAACAAGAATACATGAACATGAACTGGACAGGTTATTGAGGCAAATGGTTCTGGAAATAAGCTGCAAGGATTTCCTGACTGTCGCCATACTCATTCCACTTTCATGGAGTATATGCTGTACCTCAGATCTGCAGCCGTGCCTCAGTTCTCCAGCTGCTTCCAGCGGAGGTTTTGCTGTGGCTCGGCATGGGCAACTTGTGCACCGTGGTCAGTCTGATTCACCTTGGGATGATCTTCAGTAGTGTATCATGGGTCTTCAGGAGCGGACGAGTCTCAGGTGGTTTGATCGGTTGACGCACCGAAGTCAACTGATGGGGACAAAGGATTGGGCAACCCCCCCCTCTCAGACGGAGACAGACATAAGGCTACTTTAATCTACTTCCATCTACTGCAATGGATACTTCAATCTACAGAACGGGGTGTATACAGGTTGACCGGTCTTCAATGTAGCGATCTCTTTTGGCTGGGTGACAGACATGTTTGCTTGAGTCGTAGAGTCAATCGTATAGAGATGTATAGAGTAGAGATCCCAGCACTTTTGCAAAGGGCACACGCGGACGGTGCGACGGTGCACATGCAAGTGATATAGTCCAACTGCTCCAGTCTTCAATGGGTACCAGAGCAGGCGAAGGAAGACGCCACACTAAGAGTGGTCGTTTTGATTTGCCTTGCGAAAAGCCCATAAGCATGAACTTTGATTGCCAATCTGCCGGAATTGTGCGATGCCAACATGTATGGTTCCTTTTTTTCCGGCTCAATTGGATGAATATGGATGAATTACATCCATGAATATCCATGAATGGATGTTTGACCAAAGCTCTTCTTTGGCATCTGACATCGGACCCTCTCCATGGGCCCATGCCTGCCATCGGACCGACCTCCATCGATGGCTCTAATCCCCGGGTTTTTCGGCACCGACGAAAAATGCGTCGGCGCTCCCTTCGACGTGCGCCGAGCAGCTCCCCACGGAGCCGAGGGGCTCCGGGGCGAAGGTCTCGACCGTCGAGACAACTTTTGGTGTCGCTTTTGGTGTCGGGGACGGTGGTGCGAAGCTGGCGAACGCAAGGTGAAGTTGCGCGAAGGATTTACTCCTTGAAGTCTGAATTGTAATTAGATACATGTTTTTTCTTCAAGACTTGTCGGAGCAAGCTTGTTGAATGCTCAGGGCGATGGCCATCGGAGCCTTTTGTGGATGTTAGTTCAAAGGGACGACTTCAACACTTCAACACAAGAAGCTTTTCGGTTCAGCTTTTCGACCTGACACGACAGAACCACCGAGACCAGACACCTCCTGCGGACTAATTCGACTGCAAGAGGCACTGGCAGTGCAGAGGCACTGGAGGGCTGAAGCAGCCGGCATGCTGAACCCCGCGTCCACCTGCCAACGGAGACATGGAAGGAAAGGCCTTCCTGTCCACCCACAGACCCTTCGCCTGTGGCTGAACCAGTATTGCAAACCAGTGCACTTAACGGATTGAGCCATTGACACATTCAGGTCAGGTGCTGTGACGCTTTTGTAGGGCCACTTGTTTTGTGGTTCTCAGCTGTCTAGCAGCCGTGAAACCAACCCTAAAACGGCCGAATTCGAGCATTCAAGAGGCTCCGTTTCGCTGGATTCCAGCTAGGACCCGCTTGCCAATTGGGTCCAGGATCAACTTCCTGACACAAATTTTGTCCCTTGTCCTCGACCTGGAAGGGGCTTATACTGGAGACATTCTTTTCGGAAAACTTGGCCGAGAGAATGTCCGACACGGCGTGAGTGAACTCGCCACGCGAATTGACTCGCCCGAATTGACGCGTCATGAGCCTGTCTCGGCGACTGGGCAAACAACTGAGGATCCAGGGTGGTGTCGATTCCGCTTGTACTTGGTGTTGACAGCCCGAGGGTTTGCCTGGAGCCTTTGGCTTCTTTTCTGTGAAGTGCTTCGTGGTCTCCTCACATGCTGAATGATCGATCTAAATCATTCTAAATCCAAATCACATGGGAATGAACTACATCAACCAAAGCAACATCGACAGGACGACGCAATTCATCAACATGCATCAAGCCACCCAGCACACCAAGTACTATAGGGTCTATAGTATGGTCCACTAATATCGAGTCTGGTATTCCAACTACTCCCCTGCAGAGGCAGAGGACCACATGGAACCCCAGTTCACCACCTCGGGTTGGTCATCGATCAGCAGGTCTCCAGCTCAGCAGGTCCAGGGCCTCCGGGTCTATGGGATCGGTTTGCCAAAGGGTGTCATGCTATGCCGTAATTGGGTTGTTTTTCGAAACAATGTGTCATTGCATTTGCCACTCCATGCCTGTCGTATCATGTTATGCCTTCATTCACTACCTCTTTTCAACCACCCCAATGTAGGGACTACATATTCCAGTCCCATTGGTGGTGTCTCGGTGTGTTTGAGGAATGGCTCTATTCGCACCGGCTCTGAACCACCCCGTCCCATCGAGTCGCGTCGAGCCGCTGATCTCCAGGAGCGACGGACGGGTGCCAACAAGATCCCGGTCGATTGGAAGCCACCTCCCAAGGCCTTGGGCCGGATTTACATAGGGATTTACATGTGGGTGATGGCAGATGTGGGTGAGATGGAGATTTCTTTGGCATCTAGTCACTGGTGCAGAACCAGAAGATGCAGAATGGCTGAAGATCCACTTGCCCTTGACATAAACCATATCTGATGACCGATGACCCTTTTGAAATCCCATGGAAGACATAGGACAACTAAGTAGACTGCATGTACTGCTCTATTGCTTTCCTTCGTTGGAGGCAGATGTCTTTTTGGGCGTGGTTGATTGGGAATTACAGATTAGTATTTGGACCTAGACAGTTGCCTCTTTCTACCCAGTCAGTGTGCATCACCTGAAAATTGGTTTTACAGGTTTCCCCCGACTCAACGGGTGGAACGAGGTTAACCTCTTTTTCCAGGGACACAGCTTGGGGCCCGGGTCAGTTTTTGCTATCAATCTGAATAGACGCGTTCACAGGCCTTTCCTGGTCCCTCAAAACCAGGGATTGGTTCAGGTCCAAAGACCCCTCCAGAGGATTCGGGTTTCTGCCCCGTACCTGAACAGAGAGGGTCCAGACTTCGCGTTTGGGTATGCAACATGTTTGCCAACCTTGGCTGGTTTTGCAGATGCAGTTCCGCAGGGTACGGCCTCACTCGTTTGCGCGTCGACGGGGCCGATGATGTGCAGAGCCCCACGTGGTGTGGCCGTGTGGCCGAGCCGGCGGGCTGGCCGGTCTTGACCCGTTGAAGGCAACTCATGTGAGCCTTGACATGAGTCCTTCGACACTTTGTTTTCTGCCTTGGTTGGTGGCAAAACGACCCCCAAATTCACCTGGAACACCACCATGTCTTGAACCTTTGGCGTGTTTTTCGCTACAGCTCTAGTCGGTGCCCAGGCCCCTTCGGAGGTTCAGGGAGTGACGCCCAAGTCGGCGCCGTCGGGTGTCCCAGAGCCGGCGTGAATAGAGCCATATCCTTCAAACGCACCCTAGCGGGACTGGCATATTTATATAGTCAATTTTAGTATTATTATGTCATATATATAATTATACCTATACCTTGGGGTGGTTGAAAAGGGGTCAATGTAGGCATATAGAAAGAGTGAAGCCATGGATGAATATGGCGTGGCTAAGAAATCCTATATGGCCTGGTTTTGAGTCATCATTCCTCCGCCAAGGGCAACCATGAAGTAATACTTGTTGTGCTAAATCGATCTGAGTGAGACATGAGCTAATTATCGGAAACTACTAGGAACAAGAAGCTACTAGGGGCTCCTGGCCTTACTACTAGGAACAAGAAGCTATTAGGAGCAAGGGTATCGCTACTAGGGGCTCCTGGCCTTGGACGCTAGTAGGACAACCCCACCTGACGCCCAGTGGGTCGCTGTCGTCCCTAGCCTCGCGCCGAGGCCGAGGAAGCCTTCTCCACTGGGACCTGGGGGACGAGGCCGAACCATCCAGGAGTTGTTTGTGGACCACCTGCAGCAGCACCTGAGTTCGTTGGGGGCATTGGTCTCCTGTTTCAGAGTCTTTTTTGTTCGTTTTTGTTGGGGAGTGTATATGACTTCTATTTTGGAAAACGGCTCCGCCGCAGTCCGTGTCCGTTTGGGCGAACAAGCCTCGGTACCTTTTGATGGTGCTCAAAACCGCTGGCGAGTGTGTCTGAAAGGTTTGGAGGTTGACTTAATAGACTGAAGGGATATAATATGATACAATAAATATAATACTTGGATCTTCCAGCTATTCAAGAATGCTTGCCTTTTTGATGCCTCTCGGCTGGCTGTACAGATGAAAAGACAGAAAGTTTGCCAGTTGGAAGATCCAGGTATGACTTGTTGCTGGAGCTGTTTTATCCAGGATCCATGAACTGGAGGGACATAGAAACGTTGGCGTTTTTTCAGGCGAAAGCACTGCATGGTGGTGTTCCATTGCTTTGAGTCAAGCTATAATTGATTTGCCAGCAGTTGTGTGTGTAAACTGTTTGGTATGGACAGTATGATGGGTTCACATCCATCCTGCATTCTTGAGTACTTTCGGGAACATGTGACCACAACAGCACTGGGCCATGAAACCTTTCTCCCAGGCCATCGGCTATTTCTTAACAACCGATGGTGCGTGGCCGTTTCAGTCGCGCAAGACGCGGGATCACGACGTGTATTGATGGCAAGGCCGGCCGACGCCAGCTTGGAAGAAGGCTGAAGGCCCGGAACTATAACTCGATGGATGGGCGGACGTGGGATAGAAGTGATAGAAGAACCTGAGCAAGGGGGAGGGTTAAGGAGGGTCAAGAAGTTCCCATCAGCTTAAGCGGCAGGGATGGCACCATTGTGCAGAGAAGAACAACCTGAGCGAACCACAGTTTATGTTGACACTGTGAGGATGGCCTGCCAGATCCAACGATGAGATCATGATCCAACGTGTGCCAGCATCTTTCGCACGTGATCCGGTGCTCTCAAGGACAGCATGGTCTGGCCCAAACATCACTACTCAAAGTCTTGGGGATTCCCTGTGACACTTTGGAGATTCCCTGTGACAAGGTTGGAACCCCCCAATCGAAAGGAAGTTGGGCCCTTTTTCGAGGCAAGCATGCATTTTTTACAAAGGCTTGACAGAAACATCGATCCATCTACACTCCCGAAAACTAACATAGACCCTGACAATGGTCCCATGGAAGACCATGTTCCTCTACCAACCAGGGGTTTTCAGGTTCCATTTTAGTCTTCCAGGGTGTATCAACAAAGAGTCGTCTCCAAGCACCATGGGAGCCTCCTCTGCGGACGGAACATGGGAGCCGAGCGGCGAGATCCGAAGTCTAGGGAGCCCACAGAAGCACCAAGTGGAGGGAACACATGTTCCGACTTGTTTGGCAATCCGTGTTTTGACAGCGACGGTAGAGGTTGGTAGAGAAAGGTCTTGAACATGTGGAGATTTCTAGCACCTAACAGAAGGAAGTCGAGTTTTTTCACTGCCAAGTTAAGTGAAGTAGAGATGTCTTGAGATCATGGACACCAGACTGCCCTGCAAATCAAATCACGTCACCACATCACCATACATCACCCATCACCCCATGCCATAGGCGTCACCACACAAGCTATCACCGCACCTATCACTTTCACTGCAAAAGCAATATGTTACTGTAAGATCGGCGACAGCGGCTTCAGAACCTGAAATTCCCGAAGCGCTTGAAGCCTGCAGTGCGTGCAGCGTGTGCGCGCGTGTGAAATCACCTGTAGAAAGGATGCAACACGAACAAACTCCCAGACGCTTGCGCCGCTCGATTCAGACACTTGCTGGTAGCTTGCTTCCGTCACTATCCAGAATCCAGAAAAGGAAAAGAACACCGAAAAGGTCAGTGTGCAGAGGAGACTGCGTTGACTCGCTGACTCAAAGGAAAGGTCGGACTGCTTTGACTGCTGGCTCTGAGAGTCGAGTCATACAGCGTTGACTGCTGGATCTCTTGTGGAGCACTTCTGGCTCTCCTGCGACGGATGGTCGCGCAGCTGCGACGTGGATGTGGCGAACCCACGTGGTGTGCGCCCTTTGGCTCGGAAGCAGCGCAAGCCGCGGAAGCAGCTCGTGGGGGTCCGGGGTTCAGTCCACGGGGTTCGGAGCTGGCGGTTGAATGCAGTTCGACCGGTTTCGCAGGGGCAGCTGAAGGAGACAAGTTCAGATTCTATAGCTCTTGAGAAGCTCACACACACATGGAAATAGTTGGATAGTTTGGGGCAAATTGGCGTAAGTTTGGATGCCTGAACCATCCTGAACCCAATCTGTGGAACAAAAGAACAAAAAAGGAACACAGGCCTCCCAGCTCCGGGACGCCCGCTGCGGGAGCCTCCCGCAGTTCCCTGCCTGTCTGCCGGACCGGCTTTGCCAGCCGGGGCTTTGCCTTGCTGGGTTGCTAGTGGTAAGGATGCTCCTAGTAGTACGGCCAGGAGCTGCTAGTAGCGTCCTTGCTCCTAGTAGCGATGCCAGCCCCTAGTAGCATCCTTGCTCCTAGTAGCCGGCGCTTCGCACGGAGGGACCCGGCTGGACCAGATGATCAGCCATTCATCAGCCATTCGACCAGATGATCTCAGGTGTTGAGAGGAGAGCATTTTCAGGTGCGTCAGGTGGAAGGTAATACTGCAACTTCAACTTCCGACATTCACTCTCAGAATTCCCTGCTCAGGTGTTTTCGGGTCCACTGGTGTGGTTCATGCCCAGGTTTACGATCCAGTCTTTGTGAACGAAGAACAGGAAGACCTTCTGAGATGTTGATCCTTTTTGGGCGGACAGGCAGCGCAGCCCTACCCGCCCTCCCGGCGCCAGGCATGAGGGTTGAGTCAAAACATCGTGCGAGGAAATGGCAGCAAGCAAAGCTCTAGTGAAGCTGGCTGCATGTATTGAGGTCATGATTGGCATCGTGAAGATGTTTGTTTGATTCTTTTGGTTTCACATTGCTAGGTTTCCTTTGGAGTGCCTTGCAGGGGAACATCATCAACTCCTCTTTCGGGTTGAGTCAGTGATGATTCGTGGATACTTAGTTACTTGCGGACTTATTTGCAAATGGCAAAGGATCACAGGTCTCGCAAGGAATTCAATCACTGCCATGTAACATCATTTGACAGTGTGGCCAATAGTTGGGGATCAGAAGGTGTGCAAATGTTTTCATCCAAGAGGTGTTGCTTGTGTCACACTCCCCGGAATAATCATGAAAGTGGAAAACATGGCCCCTTGGATGACCATGTTCCTCTTCAAACAGGTGGTTGTCCGCTTCCATGATTTCCAGGGAGTGTATTTGATCCTTGCTTTAAATCTGGTTCTGGCATGTTCTGGCACAGGTGATGCACCGAAGAGTGGAGGTGATGGCAGAGGAGCAGAATGGAGCAGAGGGTAGTTTCCACTCATGCGATTTCCACCTTGGACTGTTGGGTCATCGTCCACTTCAATGCAATGTCTTAGTGCAACCACAATCTTGGAAAGGGTTAGTGGAGATGTTTTTTTTGACCCGCTTCTGACTCAGAGACTGATTTTTCTGTGAGTCACAAGATGTTTATTCCGCTGCGCAACATCTCGTTTGTTTGGAGGAACCTTGTCTTCTGCAGGCTGGACTCGTGTGACTTGTCGATGGGCACTGACAGGATGGCGAATGAAGACGGACAGGATGGGAACGAGTATCTGGAGTCGGTGCTAGTTGCTGCTAGTTCAGGTGCAGCAGTGGAATAGAAGGGTTTTCCCGCGTTGTGTCTCTTTTCCTCGTCTCCACCAAAAGAACCCTCGCTCGCTTAAAGTGTTCGACCTACTGGATGCCTTTGGCGGACGCCTTCGATCATGTGACAAAAGACAAGTGATACTGCGGACGCCTTCGATCTCAGTACTTATGACTTCTTATGACTTCCTTTCATGCTTTGGGCTGCACCGCACCCAAGCTCCAATATTGCTTTTCTTTTGATTGGAGCTTCAATCAAGCCAGTTGGCCACATCAATTCCACATCTTTGCAGTTGCTGCAGCTCATTTCGTTGGGTGCAAGGGTGTAACTGCAGTTCCCGCGTGAGACACTGTGGACTCTTTGCCCAGCCCGCACAGCATTGCTGCTCAAGAAAGCTCAGAACATGTTGTTTATTTGGATGATTTTGCACAAGCAGGAACCACCATCAGCGACCAGTAGCCATGAACCGTCAATCTGAATCTAAGACTCAGCAGAAGCAACAAGCTGTCAAGTTTCCAAAACCAGCCAGAAGCTCTGACCTGCTTTTATGTGACTTGAGGACTTGTTTGAAATGAGGATTCCTCAACTTGCCTTTCAGCACTTTTTGTCAAAATGAAGATCTCCGCAAGATGACCTCCTTAGGGCCCTTTTGCAGTGAGGCGAGGCGGACCAGTTCTTGTTCGGTTCTGCCGCTTTGTTTGATAATGGGGACCTCTCGACATCCACAGGCTTTCGTTGATGTGGGGCAGTTGTTTAACGCGCACGTTTTATCACCCTAGCGCCATAGGAGTCCCCCGTTTGGATCTTCCAGATATGTGTGTGACTTCATGGTTTCCCGTGAACAGACACGACCACGATAACGTTTTCCATGGCAGTTGGATGTTCATCGTTTTGTTTGATCCCTGGGACTCCGGACTCCAGTCCTATAGTTATATAATCTAGTATGTTGGGGATGACTTGGTGGTTTGGTTTTTCTTCGCTAGAAGCACTTTTCAGCCGTCGCCGGATGGCGAGGTGGATGGCCGGTTCAGCTGCAAGTCCAAAGAATGGCTTTGTGGCTGCAGGCCGCTCGCGGCACGGGCAACGGCAGAGGTGGATGGCCGGTTCCAGGTTACACCTCACTCGGCAATGAAGGATTTGCAACCAGGTCAATAGAGTTTCGTTTGCTGTGTGCAAATGATGCAAGAAAGTGATTTATAAGCAGCATAGGTATACGGTAATAGTATTACAATACTATACTTGAACAACAGAACTGTTGACCAATGCCCAACCTAAAACTGGTTTCTGGAGTTCTCACCACCAAGTCATGGCCGCAATTCCTTGTTTCAATCCGCAGCGCGTGTCAGCCGGTGTTTGGACGGTTTGGACCGTCTGAACGGAGCTCAATGGTTAATGTTCGCACAACTGATGGCGGCCAACCCTAAAACCCTACTACCCACAATGACACTTTTCTCATGAAAGATTTGGGTGCCAGACAAACATCCAAAGCTGCTCAACATTGACAGGGGCCAACCCTTCCAAATATTTTACACTGGGCTGCTACAACCTAATCTTAGAGATCCACACAATCCATCAAGATCAGGCAATGTTAATACAAATTCACCAACCAGGCACTTGTACTTCACAACTGAGTTCATCATAGTCCATCAAGAACGTTTCTGACCAGCATTGCCTACCCAAACATGTGCCCACATTCACAACTTGGACTTGTGGACATGTAGCAGTGACCCTGTCATACCAGAGACACCTCAGGGACCAATGGGGTGTTTCAAATGGTGAAACGACTCACGATTCAAAGACCATCTAGTGGCCACATGGACCCACGAGTCTCACATGAATCTCCTCCCCCCTGCCCTCCCACGCCCTCGCGGTCCGGCTCGATTCCACGAGGTCCGGCTCCTGTGAGGGTCCGACTCGCTCCCTGCAGCGGGACGAATTGGAGTCCCTGAACTTCACGGGCGCCACCGTGCGCATGGCCACCTTCAAAAAGGTCATGAAGGCCATTTAGCTGCTGCGTGGTGTGTGTGTGTGTGTTGCTTCTTGGCTTGAGAGCAGAACGTGGTCTATATAAAAATGGTTGGTGCAAAAAGGGGATAGTTCTCAAGACCACAGTGTTCTTATTATATAACGACTTTTCATCGTCGATGGTTCTGGAAATAGACTGACTTGCCAGCAAAAAAAACTGGAGCTTAGGCATAGAAACTTTTGTTGACGTTCAGCTGAGTCTGGTTAGCAATCACATTCGAAGTTTTAAGCATTGGACCTAGCCAATGAGTGTGTCATGTTTCGATTTCTCCAATCTCCGGCCGCGTTGGTTTTCTGCACGAGCAGCTCAATGTGAGCAGTTCGTTAGTGGCGCTGTGCCGCGGTGCCGTTTTGAGCACCAAAGAGTGCCCAGTGATTAGCCATGGCCATGATTTCATGTACATTCCAAGCCTTGGCACTCCTTGTTGTCATGTCTTTCGCTGCAGAGAATCCTCGAGACGAGGATGGCACTCCTGTGGTGTGTGAGGATCGAGATGATCGGTGGCAAGTTCATGGCACCAGCTGCGAGAAGATGAGCGCGATGTGTGATGATGATAGTTGCCCATACACAATGTCGAGTTTTCTTTTTAGGGGTTAGAACATAAATTACACACAGGGAATCTGTACTGTAGAGAATATCTTAGACACTATGTTGAACTGATGTTTTTTTCATCATGGAGTAGCAGGCGGTAGCAGGGTATCCATGACTGCTCTATTCCACAGCCTTAGAGGACCGAAGTGCCTTGCCCTGAGGTTATGGTGAATTGGTCCAAGCTTGGTGCCCTGTGACCTGCAAAAGATGCGAACCGAGCTTCAAGTCACAGGGCGAGAAAGATGTGGAGACTGATCGAAAGGATGTGGAGCTCGAAGTGATGCCGGATGCAGGTTGGGCAGTGATACGTCCAATGGAACAGGGCACGGAGTGGATGGCGTAGATGACCACTGCCATTACCCGCATAGAAAATACCATATTGTGGCTCAATGCGGGTGCCCTAAACCCTCGATCAAACTACGGGTCGTAGTAAAAATACAGAAAGTTTGCTGTGTGGCGTGATTCGTCAGCTAGAACTTTGGTTCGGCCAGGTGACAACGCCTCCTCCGTAAACTTCCTGGAAGATTTGGCAGGTGACAATGCCTCCTCCTTGAAGTTTTTGGAAAATATGTCAAACATCTCAAACAGTTCGAAGTTTTTGGCTGAGAAGGGAAAGAACGATGCGAACGGCACTTGTCCAGCCGAGCTTAGCAGTGCAGTTGCAAATCTCAGCGGAAACGTGTCCAAGAGCAACATTTCGATGGTGCAGACTCTCAGCAGTAAGGGAAGTCGTCAGTCGTTTGTAGACAAATCTTCAGGCTATAGTTATATCGAAAACGAACCTATTAAGCATCTCAAGATCCTAGATAGACCATCCTAGATTGATGTCCTGTACAATGCCTTGAATTGGTTCTCAGGCTTGGAATAAACTTCAATGTAGACCAAACGCAGGCTTTGAAAGGCTTGTTCGTTGTGATCAATTGCCGCTTTGTTATTTTACATGAGTCTGTGTGACGAGAATATCCACGTACAAATTGTATCGGAACCTGTTTCTATCTATTTGTCAATCTATCAGCTCGGATTGTTTCTACTGCACTCAAACACAGGGCTTCGGCGAACTCGCATGCGAGTTCCTCGCAGGCGCATTCCGCACTGAGGAATGCGACAGCAGTTGAGGGGTCGACCACAGGAAAGGCCATTCTTCTTCTTGAAGAGTTGGAAGAGACAACTTTGACGGACTCCAACGACCGTCTTCCCATGATTGCCTCTCAATTCGAAGTCTTAGGCAACATGGACTTGTTAACAAAGGAATTGCACAGTTGTGGTTTATTTATCCGCGTGTGTTTGCGTTCTTTGTTGTGTGTGTGTTTTCTCAACAATGACTATGACATAGTATATGCATTGAATATGGTATATCATATGTACGCTGCTACTGTTGTGCTGTCAAGGTGAGATATAGGATTTGCTTCCCCCTATATTTGGCCCCCTTTGAAAGAATCCATCATTGAAACCTGCATGCTTATGCTTAGCTCAATCTACAGAGCATCACTTAGTCTAAGGCAAGGACCCTTTCAGCGTCAGCTTTGTGAAAATGGAGGCCAACCAGTCTCACAGCTTTCGCAATGCGAGCCGAAATGCCACCAACGCGACCGGCAAACGGCATGAAGGCCTTATTGCTAAGATTCTTGATCTTCTGAGCCCAACAAAGGTGGAGGTGGAAGAGAACACCTCAGCATGCCCTGAAGGCTGGGAACAAGTCATTGGAGATGTTTATGGTGGAGATCAATTCTCAGGTGCGGAAGGGAGTTGAGTCTGTTGAGTCTGTCCGAAGGGGGACTGGGAGAAGAGATGAGGAGAGTGGGAGTCTGTTAAAAAGGGGTGTCGATCCATTAGAACGATGGTGATCAGGTGGCTACACGCATTCAGCCAAGAGCATCGACGATTGTGCTTGGCGCTGCCTTAAAGAACCTGGCTGTGGCTCCTTTGAATGGAGCCCTTCCCAGAAGAAGTGCTTCCGAAACAGCCAGACTCGGCCAACCCATGAGGAGGCTCGAGGAGATTTCCTCTTTTGTCGACGGCAGCCATGCCCCAGATTTAAAACCAAAGAGGCCTGTGTCGGACCTGGGATTGCATCCGGATACTATTCCAAGGAGGTGAGCATGCGCCCTGGGAGCTACTGCATTTGGTCAGCTGGACATTGCCAGGCACCAATGGCATGTACAGATCGTGACTGCTTCTTGTTTGCCAACAGTTTTGTTAAGGATTTTACACTCAGTGGATTCAGTGGTATTGGTATGGCTAAAGTCCAGTTAGATTATACTATATAGGATGAGATCAGGTGTACCGGTTTCCAATCCCGCGCACCGGCACGAGGAGGAAATCCCTTGCTTTGTGTTCTTGTTTTGTTGCTCCCGGCTTCGGATTGTGCAAGCTGTTACCTTCGAGGCTTCTTACCTGACGGTGGACTTCCCGGAATGAAACTCCCCAATCGCTACACGCTTTGGATTTCACGACTGGGGCTGCAAGCGACCATGGCTTTGTAAGCGAAGCCCTCCGACTTCCTGTGCCGAGATTCACTCAAGACGGGCGTCTCAGACTCACCGACAGATTCACTGACAGCGAAAAAAGATAGGACTGACATAGCTTGGAAGATGCTGGAACTGCAGTTATTTTTGAAGATTGACACATCTATAGGACCAGGCTTTTCTTGCTCGGATTGCTAATGATTGCTATAACTTCTAACCTACCTGTAGTGGTTGCGCAAAGACTCCATGGAGTGTTTTTGATTTGGCGCTTGGGTGCTTTGCAGAAGCCTCATCCAAGAAGATCCTGCGAAACACCCTCATGTCTCCTCGCGTTTGGGTTTGCAGGTTCCCGTTTGCCTTTGCCCCGCTTCTTCGGGTCACCTGGCAGGATTGGGAGAAAGGTGGAGAGTCTGAAGGGATCGAATCGTTCCCAAACATATCCCATATTTGAATGTATAGAACCAGTATATATGCTAAGTATTATGTATAATGTTGTTTTGTAATATACATCATTGTACTTATACTATATCGCCACCCAAAGGGTGTCTATAAGATTCTATAAGCATTGTTTAGAATCATAGTCTTGTGGGGGGTTCAGTTTCTCCTTCGATCAGTGGTTACAATTCTTTGCGACCCCCACAATCCCCTTTTTCGGATGATCCATTCTGATGGCATGAAAGCACTCTTACCTCGGGGTGGCCCTCAATAGTAAACAGTAGATGATCTCAACGTGGATCAACTGAATGAGCGTGCCATAGGCTAATGAGCAGCTAATGCGTGAAATGGGAGTATTTGAATAGTCAATGGTAGGAACATGATGAAGGTTTCTGATTGTGTGGGGACCAAATGTTCCCACTGCATACTTGCTGGGTGCTCAACTGAAAAACTCCGGCGCTAGTGGGGGAGGGTCTGATGAAGCTGCCGTTTTTCCAGGCAGTGCCCAGCTGAGGTGGCTGGTTGGACAATTCTTGGGTCCTTTGGCTGCTTGGGGGCACTGTGGAATGGAAACAACTGGAGGGCGAATGCACCCCATGCCGCTTGGAGCGAACCGAGCGAACCACTAGCGAACGCATGAGACTGAGACGCAGACACTGGACCCCTAAAGACAAAGGGTTTGACAGTACTTGACACCAAGAACACCAAGAAAGACCTCGACACCGCGGATAAATTGGTGTGGATGCAGCAAAACAACTCGTTATCCCCGGATACAGGAGGGGGGTATGTAGGACCGAGGGAAGTCTCCAAGAACGATCTAGTATGATCCCTATAGGTTTCCAAGTTTCCAACCACCAATGTTATAATGGTCTGAATCCCACAGAACCATTGTTTTACTAAAGGATATAACACCACAACTAACACCAGGTCAACCATTTTTTAAATGGTCTTGGAAGGCTAAGGCTATAGCCATGAATTAAAGTTCACTGAATGAGTCCTGCGGATCGGTTGATGCAAAAAGTATCATCCCGTTACCCGTTGATCGCATCGGTTGACAGCGCCTTTAGATCTCGCATGCGGCATGTTGCCATCGTCTTTGCAAGTTTATCGGTAGTTGTGCCAACATCGGTTTCCCACTGTCATCCGTTCTCGCAACATGGTCATGAGCGGTTTCACATCATGTTCACGATATCCACAACGGTGGCCCTGCACGACGTCCATCGAGGATGAGCCCTGTCGCAGAATCGTTCGACGCATCACTCGCACCGAGGCACTGAAGCCCCGACGCACGCCTGGAGTGAAATTGCGTTGCCACAAAGCCAATGCTACTGGGATGGCACAGTGGCGATGAAGGGGATGACAGTTGCCATGAGAAAGTCAAGCGGAGGGATCATATTGGAAGGGATGAGGGGAAATGCGAAGAAGGCGAACCTACTTGTACTGTGTTTGGGGATGGGAGGGAGGGGGGCCAATCTACGTGATATAGGATGATGTAGGCCTATAGCCTATTTAAAGCCCTTTGTATTTATAGCGTTCATGGATCCTAAGATCCCAGTGGTTCTCCTTGTGGAGGCCAGGTGGTTCTCAGCAGCTCCCCCAAAACAGATGGTAAAGTCGGTGTTTTAAGTTTGCTGTGTGGTTTGGGCAATATTGGGCAATATATTATTTAATATCAGTGTAGTCCATTGTTGTCATGTAGTCATATAGTTCACGTATACTTGTACTCATTCCTGCCCCACAGGATTGGAACTTCAGGGCGGACTTTTTCAGGGACCTAGAGGTTGTCACCTACCAGATCAACCCCCGCAAATGGAAAAGATGACCTGCAAACTGCGGGATACTGCTGTGTCCCAAGGTCTTCTTGTTGAACCAGATATACTGTACTGCACTTAGCGGATCCCTTTGGATCCAACCACCTTCTCAGTTGGAATCACCCAGTTCACATCACACTGGTTCACATCCCACTGGAATTCGATTTGGAACTCCGTTTAAAAACAAAAACACTGTGTTCTGGTCTTCGAAGTTCACGGTCATCGGAATCACAACTCCACCCAATGTCTCTATTTAAAAGTCCGAACATGGGGCCAGTCTTCTCAGAAGCTGGGGACCCCCCCGGGCACCTACCCCACCCACCTCAGTGAGACCTTGTTTCAACGAAACCGACCCTGGAGCCTGGCCTGCGTCAGGTTATTTGATGTTGGGCGGTGGGACCTCCACCTTCCGCGATCGCGGCACCAGTGCCTTTCGCCTTTTGCTTCACGAGACTTGGAGTGAGGTCGGCCGTGAGCTCAGGGTCATTCAGTTCAGGTGAGGGGTGGAAGTTGGGTGAGTTCGGGTGAGCTGTGCCTATATACCTGGATCTTCGAAACGGCACAAATAATTGCCTTTTCAGGAAAAAATGCCGTTACGGCGTCTTTTTCCAAAGACGGCGTTTTTTGTTGTGACGAGGCGCACGCCGGCAGAAAGCAAAAAGAAACGGCGTCTTTAAGCGTCCAAACGGCGTCTTTGGGCGTCCAAACGGCGTCTTTCCCCGTCCATGGATTTTGTACAACCCATAAAACGGCATTTTTTTTTGATTACGGCGTCTTTTCACTAAAAAATGCTTCCGGCAAAAATTTGTGCCGTTTGAAGATCCAGGTATAGACTATCAGAGCCTGAACAAAAAGGTGAATTGATGCCACAATGAATTGTCCAAGGCCTTCCAAAACGATGTGGATTCCTGATCATCCTTCTTAATGGGACCCAAGGATGGTGCGTTCTCTGAGTGAACGCCTCCTTCGGTTTCGTGTCGACCCAGAGGGTCGCTCAGAGCGAAACCAGGCCGACTGGTCGACCGTCGGAACCAAGGACACCACCTTCCGGTTTTGGCCCCGAGAGGTGCGTGGGATGTCGTGGTGGTTGGGATGGTTTTCTCAGGAATTCGAGGTGAGGACTGGACTCAAGAATTGTTTTGGGGGGGTTGAATCTAGGACACGTGTTTTTGTGTTCATTGATTTATGATCTATAGACAGATAGGATAGGATAGGATAGGATCAGTTATAAGATAGGATTATAGGATAAGATAAGGCACTTACATGAGGTAGGTAATCAACAGTAGTGCGAGGTATTGTTTGACTTTTTGTGAAGGGCTTACCCTGTGCAGGCGGCTTCCATGTTTGGATCCATCGCCAGTGTGGGTGGCCACACACCCCACCTGGTGGAAGGGAGATTAAGGAAGTCACACCATCTCGAAACATACCAAATTATCCATAATGATTCAGAACCATGCAGCAATGCATTCCAATTAGGTTGAACGAGGTTCCCACAAAAGACCTTTATGTCTATGTCTCTATGTCAATACGATTGATTGTGGTTTTGTGCGAGCATATGGGAAGGGACTGGACAGCACCTGGATGATGTGTTTATCGAATCGGAAGATAGAAACTACAATTCTTTGAATCGGTGCGACATGTTCTCAATACAAGCTCTCGATGAAGTTCTGCTTTGTAGGTCATTGACATTCATCTCTAGGCTGTTTGGGGGTATCAGTTGATCTATGCAAACAAAGTTTCGTCACATCTTACACATATATTATGTAAATTTAGTGGGTCGAGAGATGATTCAGATGAAGATGGCGTTGCTTCTGGAAAATTCCAGAATTTGCGACTTAGAATTTCAATCAAAGGGTTTGGGATGTGGACGTGCCATTGTGTTTGCCACTAGCTACCTTTTCGCAGCGCCAAGAAATATCGATTTGATGCAACCAAGAAACCGCTGCGCGCAGTGATTGGACCTGGCAACGTCTGGTCGCGGAGTTTTTGTCAAGACACTTGTGTCATTTGTGAAGCGCATAAGAAATAGGTGGCTGTGGGTCAAGACCAGGATACCGACCGGTTGACCTACCCTGGATGGTCTTTCACGACATGGTGGGACAGGGCTCCAGGTTTTGACCCCATATTTGCTGCCCAGATCCAGTGGGGAAAACACCTCACAGGAAGACCGCTTGGTCTATGGCGGCCTGTTGCTGCATCCACCTCGTCCACTCCACAGTGGACACGTGCGGCTGCTGCAGCAGTTGATCGCGCACGGGGCGCGACGGCTGGCACCGGAGGTGGAGTCCTTTGAACGGAGCTTGGATCAGGTGGGGAAAGGGATGGATATGACTGCAGGGGCATGTGTTCATGTGAATGAAGACTTGGTGTGAGGATAGAGAACTATAACTAGAAGAAGATGTGGAGGGTCAACCAGCCAGTCACAGGGCGGTCTTGTTGAGGGTCAATGTCATTGTGTGCATACACCCACACCATCCATGTATGGAATAGTCGCACGCCATCATATGCCCCATTTATAACCCTAACGTAGTTATATCTATTGCATACATGGATGGTTTGGTATTTCATACATGGAGTGTTTGGGCACCAGGACATAAGTCTTTCGTCCATCCCTTCCAGTCGTGGCAGGAACGGTCCAGTCTTTCAGGAAGGCATCCACGGCAACTCACTCTGCGGTGCCAAGAAGACAACAAACGTCAACATAAATCAGTGACAGGACACATCTCCACGGACCACTGGCCACGCGGCGTGACAAGCACACAGTTCCCAGTCCCATGGTGTGGGACATATGAAATACTGATGTTACCAACCTTGTTCTCCAACGCGACCTACCTGTGATCCCCTGATTGTTGTCGGTGACACCTGGCGGCCTTGTTGTCCAGTCTCAGATGCTCAGTAAGTTCACGTGGCCTACATGACTGGTGGGCTTTTGGGGCTGTGAAATAGGGGTGAATGTAGGCCATACGTGGGAATTGCTTGGGATAGAGACCTGCCTTTGAGGAAGGAGGGGTGAATGTAGGCCACCTGAAGGCTGTTGCTGACCTTTCTTCTTGGGGGTCGCGAACCCTTTTCCACCCATCGGACAGGATGCAGATCTCAACCCGATCTTCTTGGAGCTGATCCCTGGAGAGCTGCTCAGCTCCAGCCTCGATCCGAACGGAGAGCAGTCTAAGAGACGACCGGGGTGGGAACCCTGAAACCACCAGGATACCCTGGTATACGCTGATTATATATAAGCGGTGCCAAATGGATGGCTACCAGGGAGTCCACTGGGGTGTCGATCGGGAAGAAGATACCACAATCAGATTCTTCCAGCCAATTCGGCATCGATGCATTAGAGTCAGAGTGTTTCACTCTGATGATATGATTCGCTCGATTCTGGCGATGCTCGATGAGGGTGATGGTGCCTTTGGAGGTTGTTTTGTCTTCCTGATCGGGAGGCTGAAGAGCAGATTTGGATCGCATTGGTGAGAATGGCACCACTTTTTGTGGTACAAGGTTGTTCCATAGTGACTACTTCTACAACGAAAGGGGGGGTCCTTGATGGTCCTTGGAGCCGGAAATCGGTGTCACGACCTGGACAGGTTCATTTTCGAAGACCAGGCGCTGCTCAGCATGGTGGCAGCCTATTTCGGGCTCTTCCGCCTGCGGCTCGGCTTGCAGAAGCCTTTGGGGTGTGGTGATAGGGAACAGGTTCATGATGTTTGTATGTCATAGTCATCTACCTGGACATCCAATGGGTATCCAATAGAGATCCCTAAGTGGTGTAACAGTGTAGGGTGGTCCATTGGACACCCGTTGGATAGTCCTGCTGTACAACATTGGGGTCATAGTTTGGAAACAAAAGGTTCTGGTTTGTCACTCACTGCTCTCCTCCTGCTTGCTGAGAGAACCGTAGGTACTGGAGCCTCTCCTGGTCGCCTTTGAAAGTGAACTGCGTGGTCACAGCACTTTTGTTCGGTCGTGCGCCGGACCAGTTGCTCTCCCTGGTGCCGCTGGAAACACATCAGGAGACTTGGTCGATGTCACCCGGTCATTTTGCAGCGAGGTCCCCTGGCCCGTGGGCGGTGTTCGAACACATGGGTCCTTTTGATTCTCTTGATGGTCGAATACAGCAACTTGGTACGCTTGCACCTGGATTTTCCATGATTTGTGTCTTCTTCAGTTGGCTTGGCCGTGGCTTGGAGGGACTGGTTTGAGAAGGCTGATGCTTAGTGCCACCTTTTAGTATCCTTGAGTTGTTCTTGAAGCCAAGAAGAGAAGGTTTCAAGACAGCAGTTAGCTATAGGGTCACAGTAGCAGCAATTCACAGCTTCTGCAGAAATGACCCTACAGCTAACTGAGCTGACCCTATAGCTAATTGCTGTGACTATAGCTGACCCTATAGGGTCACAGTAGCAGTTCTCTATTATCTGAGCTGCCTGAGACATTTCCATCAACTTCCTGCTTAGCTGGTCACCTCCAGGCCATAAGGGAGGCTGCAAAGGAGACCAACGAGAAGTGGCAGAAGCGCTTCCGCCCATTGATTGACACTTGGCTGTTTCTCTCTCTCTCTCTCTGTCATTAGAAGCACCTTTAGAATCTATGCATGATGTATGAGGTGGGTTACTCTCTCTAGAACACGATATGGTGTTCCCGCACTTTCGTTTGTTTCGCACATCGCGGAAAAGGCAGACTTTACACGTTGTCCACTCGTTACACCTGACGGTTTTCCCCGGACCGTTGGACGTGTCGAGGACTCCGGCCGAGAGATCTTTTCGGAGACCTCACCGACGCTGGGATCGCAACTCAGTCCGTGGGCGACCGGTCCTGGATGGTCTGTGGGGGGTCGTGGGTGGTTGGAGAATCCACACGGGGTCTACGAACACAGCGAGGTTGTAGAGGAACAATATGTCTTCCCAATCCCAAAGGCTCCAAGCACCTTCTGAGAAGGTGTTTGGGGTGGGAGCGTCCAATTACCTTCTGAGGAGGTACTTGGACCCTCCAAACCTACGTAACTGTCTCCAATCACTTTCTGAGAAGGTACTTGGATCCCTATAGGGAGGGAATGTAGAGGTGCATTATCCACTAACAGTGTGCCCGACAGATGTGGTGCGCGCTGGACGGATTATGTGGGAAGTGCCCAGAGGCCTCAAGTATTCTGGACCCTCGAGGCGTCTATGTTCCACCCATTTTGACGGCAGGTGCAGGTGGTTGATTCGTTCGTCCCGGTGAAGTTTCCCATAGCGCATCCTATACGTTGTAGCCATTGTGTTGATGGAGAGAGTCTTATATCGTTTGGCATACCGTCTCAACTATTAGTTGCTCAGATTCCAGATGTTTGGGTATATATCCCCGCAAGTGCAAAGTGTTGTTCCATGTGCAACAGCATGTTTTGGCACAAATGAAGCGGCACTGTACTGACTTCGCTCCGCGGCATGTGGTGGCCCTGCTGCTTGTTGTAATGATGCCACAGCAGTTACAGCAGCTTATGTTCATATCACAGACAATGCTGATTGCTTTTCTGCAGCGTTTTGAGCATTCCTTGTGGTAGTGAGGACTACCTGGCACTCGTGGTGGTGGACGTCGAACAGATTCTCAGCCAAATGTTGGTTGGAAGAGCTGCAACTGCTGCTTGTTGCTTCTGCTGTTTGTTGTTTGGTTGGGAAAAATCCAGGATCCAATTAGCTGAGAAACAGGTGCTCATCTGTCAAGACGCGGACCCCCTCTTCTTCGTGGCCAGGCGAAGTCCAGCACGACGTGACTCAGCCGTTGCAGCGCTTCCGTTGGCCTTTTGTGCGAGGGGCACTGGCGCCGCTGCGCGCAGCGTTGGCGGCGGAGGACTGTAGCTGGTAGTTTTCGGGGTTCTGAAGGCACAAGTCCTGCAAGAGTGGTTTATTCAGTGGTTCAAGATCTCAATCCACGGTGCAAGTGGTTCAGCCGAAAAAAAAAATAACCGGGGAAAGCAAAAGTTGAAAGCCAAGGAAAAAGGACGCTGACGACCTGTTTGAAATTATTTATTAACAGGCTTTAATATTCGAAGATGTTGCCTTATACTCTTGTGACTCCTATGATCTGGAGGAGGCCTTGTTTTGGAGGGGTACCCCAGATATTCACCCTGGAACTATATACACTTGTCATCACCCATCACCTTTGTGTTTTTTCATTGTTTTTTGGAGTATCTTCGTCTAGTGGTGACCCACCAAATCCAGAGTGACTCAGCTGATCACTGTGTCTTCAGCACCGCAGGACTTGGCTGACCAGTGGGACCAGTACCTCCCGTGGACTCGACAGATCCTCCGCTGTCAGGTGCAGACGTGACGTCGATGAGTGTTTTACGCGACGCGGAGATGTCCAGGTGGTGTTGTTCCATTTGTCTATGATTTGTGAAAAGAATCTATGAATGTATGTAAATATACAGGGCTCCTTCTATACCTTCTCCTCAGGTATAGCTAGACCATGTTAGACCCCCCTGGTACCCACCCCAACCACCCTCTAATATGGTTTGAGCGCTAGGGTATACATATATATGTGTTATATATAGTGTGAAAATGGTCTCGGGTCTGAATTTGCTGTGTATTTCTAATGGCACGGCTTGCGATTTCTTGATCAAATCGTAGTGAGTGATGGGTAAAGACAATGAAGGGCGAAGACTGCAACACACCAAAAACAATCCAACGAGAAACTGAACCAATACTTAACAATCTCAGTATTATATATATCGTATATAGAATCCTGTCACCAAATCTTGGCTAGGGGTGGATAACCTTTGTGGTGTTTGATGGCCTTGGCATTGTGCACCCTATAGCTTGAGTGTGTTCAAAGATATTTTCGAAGCTGGTCCACACAAATTACTAGATCAAGTCTAGGTTTCGTTGCATGGTGGGCTGTTGCATGGTGGGCTGCAGATCACCGGTCGAAGACCGATCATCGCGTCCGCAGGATCCCTTCACGGAGGCGCTGCTCCAACACGCGACGTCGCGTGCCTCCTTGGACTTCTACCTCATAGGCCGATGCTTTGACCAACTGCAGCGAAGCACCAGACGAGGGGGCGAACGAGATGAGGGGGCAAACGACGAGATGAGGCACTTGAACGGTGTAAATCAGAAACAAGCAACGGAAGGGGCGGACAGAAAAGGTATGCAAAGGAAAAAGACTCGACTGATGTTTGTTCAGATGGCATTCGTTAGTTCAGGATGGCGAATTGGATGGACTCTTGCCATTGCCTTTATAGATTGAAATTGAAGGGATGCTCAATGAGCACGCCCGTGGAGTGAACATGGATCACAAGATGTCTTAGCTTGGCAGACTGCAGGACCACAGGTGTTTTTGTTCATTAATTTATACCTCGATCTATATATACAAATGGCCTGATCTTTTGCCCGATGCATAACGACAGTGAAAAGATGGCCGTAACTCGCAGAAATGCAAGTTTAAGGGGTGCAAGCAAGTGCTTCAAATTCATGCAGATTCATCGAGGAAGGGAAGGAGCCTTCTTGGACACCAAAAGATGCCTTTTGTGTTTGTTCCCACCTCGTCACTGTCCCTGCAGACTGTTGCTGATTTCCACTATGCTTGTTTGGCATTTCAAATTATGTTTGCGACTTCCACGACTTCCCCCTATTGTAGGAACATGGTCCATGTATAGGTTTCATGATGCAAGTTTTCTATTGGCATTTGGCACTGCAGCAGGTGATCTACAGCAGTGTGTCTCTGAGTTCTTGCTCACCGCACAAAGTAGCGATGTGTGTCGCGGCCATGAGCTGGAGCAACAGCTCTACTGCCCAAAGTTACTTGGAACTGATTGGGGAATCAAACTGCTGCCAGGGATCTAACCAGAGGCCAGAGAAAGACTCAAGACTGCAATGCTTCTTGTTTGCCAACCATTTTTGGTGGCCCGAGCGAATCGTTGCAGTTGTCATGTCCAGTTGTCCTGTCATCTTAGTATGCCCTGTTGGGCTCCCACGCTCCAACGGCTTCCTTAGACTTCCCAAAGCCACACCAGCCACCTTGGAAAGCATGTTATTGGAGCCCTAGGAAGGATAGGACAGGAACTATGGCATGACGATTTGCCATGCTCTATTCCTGGAAGATGCCATACCCTTCCATATATGATCCGTTTTTTTTCTGAGGTTTTAGACGTTTTAGATCTGTGAAGAAAGGCTTCACCGTGTCGTGCACGCGTTTGTTGGAACCACGTCATGTGTTGCACTCAACTGTCTTGGGTGATCTCATACCTCATCATATCCCATCTAGACTCATCTAAGAACTCATCTTTGCCCCAAACCCAAAGGGCCCGGCTCCATTTGATTCCCATTCTCCATTTGGGTCCCAGGTCACACAAAAGCACCGCGCACCTCGTGGATGAACTAGTCACGAGTACCGAGCGCTTGGTACGGCGGCTGCTCTACTGGAAGGCGGTGTCTCAAATTCGACCACCCTGGGTGGAGCTCGTCTCTTCCACGGAGGCGAACGGAGCCGGAGTCGGAGTTGGACACCGGGGTGAGTGTGGGTCTTGAAGTGAAGACCGTTGTTGCCATTGTTTTTTCCTCGAAAGGAAAGCCACGCATGCATGTATGTATATGGATGTATTATTCTGGCATATACAGTAATTATTGATAGTAACATATGGAGTACTTTTGATCAGGCGTGCTGGCGCAAGCTGTGGAACTTGGGGGTGTACCTAATATATAGATTTCCGGTTTCTGTGAATGGTCGTAGAACAAGCATGCAACTGGTCTTGGACGAGAATCTATGCGTTTCAGGGATCAAGTGCAGCTACATGGCGACGGTTGGGACGACAGCTCGTTTTCTTTGGAGATGTGTCTATCTAGATCCTAGACTTTTTGCAGGATGTGCGTATCTACAGCCCGGTAAGTTGTTTCCCACAGAGGAGTCTAAGTGGTGAAGATGGTGAAGAAATCTACGACGTAATACGTGCAAGTGATGGATCTATTCGTCCAGAATGCACCGGCAAAAGCACGGAATCCTGCTCGACGGCCGCCGCCACCCTCCCCAGGCGTCTACGGTCCAGCGAACGGGCCGAGTGCTGACCGTGCCGACCGTGCTCGTGGGGGCCGTGCTGATGGGGATCCTGGCCATGCGCTGCGTGGGAAAGACGAGCTGCGTCGCCCTGCCGAGTCGCCGCGTTCGCTTCGTCGCCAGTCGTCCAAGCCTCAAAGCGTGGTAGTTGGTGAACGGTCCGAACTGACCGGCAACAGTCGGTAAACCAGACACTATTACACGATTTGAGAGATGTCGGCCTGCAATCTAGTCATCATCCACTGTTCCTGGTATAGGATAGAATGAGGGTACTGGGACGCATTACGTAACCCAGCCACCTTGCTGTGTGTCTCAGTTAGAGGCTTTGGATCCGGGCTATATCTGAGTCCGGTTTCCATGATTTTGTAATACTATGAACCCAATGAAGTACCCAATGATTCTTCTGGTAGCTTGCAGGCATTTGCAGGCAGCGCCAAACATGAGGAACTTTTCAGATTTGATGAAATCGGAGGAACCCACCTCTCTCCACTCCTCATTTAGTGATTTTCTTCGGAGGCCATGGAAGCTCCTCCCGGTTGGACATGCCGCAGCTCGGTTCGAAAAATGGGTAGAAATCTTGACAAGATCGGAGGTGGATGTAGACAAGATGTGGATCTGGATGTTATCAGATGATCAGCGGATGTGGAAGGCATACTTGGTGTTAACACAGTTGTGAAGAGCCCAACAGCAGACACCTACTGCTAGGAAAAGAGGGCACTATCCGAGATTCTTCTCATTCTTGACGGTGACAGCAGTATTCACTGGCGCTCCACAATTGGGAGGAGGTCTTTCATGCAGTAGCAGGACAAACAAAAAAGCATGTCAAAGACTGCCATCCCGTGGGGGTCGGAATCCGCCTTTTGCGGGGTGCTGTCGTTGAAGGTCTCCAATTGCTCATCCGAGGGAAGGGATTTGCACCTAGAAAAACAGCTGGCCGGTAGGTAGAACTATTAGATCCCTTCCTGGTGAATATTAGTAAGGAATGGGAGAATGATGCCCCCTCCCACTGCATAAGATCATGAAGTGTCAATGACCCAATGTTTCTTTTCGAGTTGCACTCCAATGATCTCCAATGTCTAAAAAATGCCAAAATGGTGCATTCAGAATTCCTGTGCACTACACGTCTTTCAGGAAAAAAACACCAATGTCATTTGAAATGCACGTTTTTTTGATTGTAGCCATGTTGGCTCTATTTGGTTGCCATTTTCCCACTTCCAAAGCCTGTCATACAGTGACAAATGAGAACATGCAGCTATGTCAGAAGTAGTGCGATACCTTTGTGGGTCGAAGGGTGTGTCCATCCCAGAGGAATAGCGTCCGCTCCTCCCTCAAGCGATTTAGAGCTTGTATGCTTGTCAAACCGGCGGGGCTTCATTTTGTTGAAGAAAAGCCCCACGTGACAAATTTGTTCAACCTGGAAATTCCAGTCAAATACGCGTCTTTGCACGTCCAATACACATCTTTCCCCGTCACTAGCCTACAGTTACAAAGCTTATGAACCTGTGGGTGGACATGTAGCAGGATATGTCAGAGAGTGAGTTCAAGAACTGCAAGCCACCGAGTGCTAGACCGGAGCTGTATCAAAATGAAATCGGAGATCTGGAAGTTGAGCTGGAAGCGCAGGCTCCGGCGTAAGTGACAACCAGGGCCTTCTTGTGTGGTTCCAGACACGGCCATGCAAATTTTGCACAATTTTGCTGCGCAGATTCGCAGATTTCTTTTGAGCACGCGGAAATCTTCACCAAAAAGCAAGTACCTTTTTTGTTGGTCCAGTGAAGATGCAGGTATACCCTTTTTTGCTTCCACACCCCACCGACCGGGAACCCACGAACCTCGGGTGTTCACCCCGGGTCGGTGCCCGCTGATCAGGTTGTCGTCCATCCAGCTCCGCCAGCCAGGCCTGGAGACCTCACCCGCGTCGGTTCGAGGGGCATGACAGAAAAAACATGGAAAAAATGGAACAGTTATAGATCCGCACACAATGCATTGGAAACGGTATAGTCTCATTATCTATGTTGGGGCTCACTTTATACAATAAAAATAACACACACCTTGTTTCGTATGGCTTGTTGGAAAAGAAAGCAGGTCTTGCTAGGATGATTGTTGGGGTCAGAATCATGAAGTGTTAACTCAATGTTTTCGTCTCGGATGAGGGAGTTCAACTTGCGAACATCGGGTTGTTGAAAGGACGGGACTCGCTGTCAAATTGTGATGATTCAACATGCCAAAATGTGCGCTTCAAGTGGGCTGCTGGTGTTTCAAAAAACAGTTTTTGAGAAAGGAACGAAAGAGGCTTCGCAAGAATGGTTGACATGCTTTGGAAAAATCAATCGGTTTCAGAAGACTGCTCACCTGCTAGGGGGGTTGCACCACTCCACTGATTTGTTGAACAATGTCTTGCAGACATATAACTAGTACTTTGCCGTCAGGTTCTGGTGTACTGGCTATGTTGTTGCCAAATGGACCAATGAATTTGGATGAATGCTGTTTCATTGGGTTGTGTGTTGGATCCATTGGGTCGTATCGACTTGTATTGGAATTGGCAAGGCCTTTCTGGGCCTGGAACCCTCCCAATCCAAGCCACAACTCAATGTCCGAACCGCCGCTTGATCCGCCCAGTCCGCCGCCCCTCGCCACCTCGAGAGCGGCTGCGGACCGCCCGGGTGGCGCCCCGCACCACGCGGACCACACGGACAAGCACACGGACGAGCACACGGACGAGCACACGGACGAGCGCGCGGACGAGCACGCGGAAGACGCGGGCAGCCGGGGTCTGAGAGGCCAGGGCTATGAATCTTGATGGAAATTTCAGACTCCACTCACTAATATGGTTAGTTGGGTGTGAAATCCCATTTGGAGGTCCTCCAATCCTCTAGCCTCGTCACTTTGGACCTCCAAAAGAGGAGAGTGGGTCCAGCTGGATTGATGTTAAACATTGTTAAACAATGTTAAACACATTTAGACACACATTTGCTGTTTTTTGTTGGTGACAAACATGGAAGATGGTGCAGATGGAATTCATGATTTGTTGCAGTAATAGAAGGGTTTGATGTATTTATAAAATTTGATCAATAAAGTCTGAAAAACAAGAAACACATATTCATTTAAAATTTAGAGTATTATCCTCTACCTTTTTGCGGCAGCTTGGTGGGTCGCCCCATCCCCACCAAGGTCAGCCGTTCAAGAGCACGCCGACGCCGTGCCAAAGAGGTCGGCAGAACGCCGGTGACGTCGACGATCGAAGGCTGTTGAGAAGCGGTAGACCTGACAGTGGAGATAGGTTGGAGGGTCTTATATCAATGGACATGGGGGGACAGGGGTCCGTTCAAGTCTTTTGGTCATTCAGAATGCACCTTTTTAGATGGATGCGGATGTTGGAGAGTGTGGTCCCAGTGGTCCTCTCCCATGCAGTCTTTTGTGGGGAGCAAGTTGCCAAACAATCTCCAGAGACAGTGGTCATGTGCTGCAAAAGACTCGTCGCTCTTGGACTCCAAGCCCATCAGATCATCAACGGTCTGATCCCCGAACAACGTGTGCAGCCGGACATGTGAGTCCTCGGCTGTGTAGCGAGAGCCGAGAGACTGCTGGCTGGGTGGTAGGACATCTGGTCACATGTGATGAGGAGGCCTCGTTCTAAAGTCCAGTGCAGGACTCAATGTGGAGTCTTAGGAATTAAATATACTATATTTGTTTTATCCATGTTTAGTCTTGAGTTCTTCCACAAAATGTTGAGATCGCCAGGGTTCCAAACCTGGAGAGACCTCTAGTTGAGAGCACCAAGCACCCAAGATATGGTATTTATATGTGAAAATAGAGGTCCAAATGGGTTCATTCGGTATACACTATACATATCTCCAGTCTAAGTGTCGACCACCCCTTTGGAATTGCCAAAGTGATCATCATGATCGGTCTCCAGTATCTCAACTGCCACGTGCGTGTCAACATAGCCCCCCCTCGCATGGCGGGCCTTCTCTGGCTTTTGGCGGGCGCCACCGGGAAGAGCTTGCTGTATGTCTTTCTCTTGGATTAGAATCACTAAGCTACTAGGAACAAGTGCATCGCTTCTAGTAAC